AAAAGATCTTGTCAGGAAAAAGATCTTGTCAGCCCATGAGTTGACTGCTACAGTAAATGCCCACGGCCCAGATTGAATTTGGTTGGGCCGATCTGACTGTCACGATCTCATTTGTATTTGATTTTTTTTTTCTACTAATTCAAATTACTTAAAATTTGGGGCATCTATTCTTAAACAATAGTAGAATCTAATAAAAATATAAAAAAATAATTCATAAAATTATAAATTGACCAAAATATCCCCGAAACATTTCAGAAGTATTGTGATTAATTAATATCTTACGAATTATTTTTTTTATATTTTTAGTATGCGCACTTTGATAAGGATAATGAACGCTTAAAATTTCAAGTGATTTGAATTTGTAGAAAAAAATTAAAACTAAAATATGAAATGAGGTCGTGATCGTTAAATTGGCTCAGATTCAATTTGGGCCATAGGCATTTTTCTTTTTTCTTTTTTTTTTGGTAAGTTAATGGGGAAGATAGGCCCTACCCGTTTTTTCAATAGATTGGAGAGTTACATTTTGAAAATGTTAAATGAGATTATCGACGATAGGAATGAATACCATAACTGAGTATGAGATGTACCTACCACGACCCCAACCCCTTTCATTAAAATTGTATGTTTCCCTATTGGTTAGATGCATAGGAATCTCCTCCGAATACAAAAAAGAAACGAAAAAAGAGACGCTATTTTAGACATTTTGTGACCAATGGAACATACAAGAAATCGCATGCTAATCCCCATATGGTCCAAAATTGGAAAACTGACAAAAAGAAATAGCGGACCAAATGCATCCACAATTTCAATTTTATTCGGGGTGGTTTCCATGAGGTTTATAAACTTAAAACAATCAAAGTAAAGTGTCCTCCAAGCTTTGTCATAAGAAATAATTTTGGTCTATAAATTTCTCAAAAGGATGAGGTTTTCTATAAGGTGTCAAAAATGATCTGTACTTCAAAGTCTCATTAAAAGATACATTTTCAGTTTCTTATTTTACTCTAAAAGTCTTTATTTCACCCTAATAATGAAATTGAAATCTTCGAAAATGGTGTAAATCTAGCTGATTTATGAGCACTCGAAAATCTTGAAAATAGATGGTCTAGATAATGTGCGACTAGATGCATTAATTTTAATATTTGAACTTGATTTTTTCTTTCATATCTATATATATCGAGGTCAAGATGATTAAAATAGATAATTTTCTAATGACAAGACAATATTCTTCAATGGGTTTTTGATGTGCACCTTACTTCAGGTTAACACCTTATATAAAATTTTTGGTACCTTATATAAACGTTTCCCTTAGAATCGCATAAGAACTTATTTTTACCTCTAACTATAAAATTTTTAGCTCTAAAAATAGTTCATATCAAAGATATCTAAATGTATAAAAATATTAAAAACAAACTATTCAAATAATATTTCTTTGATAATATTAAAAAAAAAGGTGATCCAGTACTATTTTTTGAAACTTGACATCGTTCTTTCAAACATGTATAAACTTTTTCCATCATATAATAATCCACTTTAAAAACTCGAAAACGAAATCATTTCTTAACGGATAAAAAATTTTCGCACTAGCACAAGGTCACGTCCGTCATTTTAGAAACAAAATCCGGGCAATTTTGGTCACTTTTTAAACATCTTTTTTACTCTTCTTTTGCATGTCTTTACTCTCCTTTTCGTTCTAAATTCTAAATTCTAAATTTTCTCTATTTTGGGCGCCTACCCCTCCTTCGTTCCCATAAGTCCACGTAAAATCTCACAAGGACGCGCCAGTCATTTCAGTAAAGGCTAAGGGTAATACATGTCATTATCCCCTACCTAGGCCTCGCCGTCTTTCCTTAACCTAACCCCTCTCTCGTCCCCACTACTCCCAGGCATCCACGTGGCGATTCACCCCGAGCCATTCTTCCACGTCATCACCCGACGTGCATGACGTCACGAGGGGCGGCCATCCCTTCCCTCTCCTCCCTCTCTTCATATAATGGGCCCACGTGGCCACTCACGCTTTCTTCTTGCCTTTTTCTTTTATAGAAGGGGCTTCTATGAGTCCGCCGACTCATTTGTACAAGTACGGCCCCTCTAAACTCTACCTGGTGGACTAGTAGACTTCCCCTGCATTACTACGGTCTTGGGGTATCAAATAGTGCTTAGAGAGCGTTACTGTGTTTCCGCGAGAGCATAGTGTACATGTGCTCCTTCATTTAGAAAAACCACTTAAGATAATTGCTTTTATTGAAATTTTGAGAACGTCCTAGACGAATATTTTTTAATATTTCATCCTCTAGATGATTAGTTTCAATATTTCATCAAACAAACTAAAAAGTTGTCAATTTTTTTAAAACATTTTCCATTCTTCGGCAAAAAAGTTGAAAAATCTAGCATTTCGGATCATAGCTGCCGTAATCAAGGGTGGATTACTAAACTACTTGGGTGGAAATAGAACTTGCATGCTAAAGTACCAATAGTTTTCACTAAATTTTGGGTGGATTACTAGACATATGTATGGTGAGGTTCGTAAAGTAAGGTCCACCTCTAAAACATGTTAAGAGATGTCATTTCGGGTCGAAAACCATAGGGTGGCTTCAAAATATCTTTTTAACGTTAATTATAAAATTTGAAATTTAAAAAATGGCAAAGATCGAGTAGATCGAAAAACATTTGAAAATCTTGAAAATAAACGATCCATATAATTTGTTACAAGATGCACTATTTTATGGAGAGGTATTTATTGATGTCCATTCATCACAGGGTGGGTATAATCAATTGGAGGATTGTCCTATGCTGGAACGCTCTCCAATGTAAAATTCTTATGTCCGAACGCTCTCCAATATAGGATTTTTGAGTTGCACTTTGCCTTATAGTATAAGGTTGCAACCTTACATGAACTTTTTCCATATAAACGGTCTATTGTCGCGGTAGGCCGCAGTGCCGCCATAGCGGCGGTTGCAATGGGTAAAGGAGGCCGGTCCGACCGGCGATTTCAAGGCCCTCAAACATTTTGTTTCTCTCTCTAAAAACATCTCTCTAGGGCTCCTTTTACTCTCTCTCTCCTCGTCGCGTTGTGACGAAGAAGGGGGGCAGGCGTGAAAAGGCCCGTGTGGAATGTGCCGAGGAGGGGCGTTACGTGCCTGCATGACGTGCGCGGGCCATGCAGATTCGATGCCAGGAGAGAGAAAATTTAGAGAGAGAAAGAAGAATTTACGACAGCGACTATAATAATACCTGTAGCAGTAACTGCAATAAGCAAGTAATCCATCACGATAGAGAGAGAGAGAGAGAGGCTCACTCTTTTAGAGAGAGAGAGTTTTTCTCTCTTCTCTCTGCTGTCCTGTTCTTTATTTTTTGTCTTTGCCTTCAATCCTCCTCCAGTGTGTTATGATTGCGGATCACGGCGCCTTTTTCTTCGAGTTTTTTTATCAATTTCTTGAAGTTTTTATGTGGTTTTTTCCATTTTTGGCCATAAATAGCTCGGGCTTCGGTGGTTTTGAGGGTTCACGATGTCGAAGATCTGCTTTAACAAGGATTGCGGCGTAGCTGATACTGAACGTTGGCGAAAGGGGTGGAGGCTTCGTTCTGGAGAGCTTTCGGACCTCTGTGATCGATGCGGGTATGAAGTTCTTCTCTCTCTCTCTCTCTGTTTTAATTTTTGCTTCTTTTAATGTTTATTCATGGAATTTTGCTGGTTCAGTGGATGATTTGGGCGATTTTTAGGTTATAACGGACATATGTTTCAATGGATTTTGAAACGGATTTTCTTTGTGGTGATTTGTTGCAAAATGTTTGCTTTATGCAAATTTTCATCAGTTTGTTCTTCCTTTCTCTGCTTTTGTCCTGGATTTCTGCTGGTTCATCGGGTGAATTTCGTCACTTTTGAGGTGGAAAGCTTGAGAACTACTTTTAGTGCTTTGAAATGGCGGATTTAGGTTTACTTATTTTAAATATCTAATAAATGTTAGTCCCGTTTGTTTTGTTTTAATTTTTGATGTGTTTACTCTTGTACTCGTGCTTGTCGAGTCTGGAAATTCGTGGCTTTTGATTTTAGTTGCTCGGCGAATGCATTGACTTCGAAATAGACGAGCTTAGGGCTAAAGTTTTCTTTCGTCTTGTGTTTTGCTCTTAGTTTTTGGTTATGGCATCTGATGGTCCAGGGACTAAATTGTGCACCTCTTACGTCAATAGAGCATTGATGGTCCAGGTAGTAAATTCTGCAATTCTTACGTCAATACCTAATAAGGTTTTTGCTGCGTTTTGAGCTTAATTTCTATGAAGTGCCTAATGCATGCGCATTTTCCTTGTCATGTTTTCTTGTTTTAAGTTTATTTGATCAGAAATATGTTAACCTTCTAGCTTTTCTTTTTTTGGTTTACGGGGTTATTTTTTTGTCATATGAGGTTGATATTTCAGGAAATGTTTATGCTTATAGAGCTTTTGAATAATATATATTTATGTGAATTCCTTGCAAAATGTCTGATGCTTGCCAACATTTACAGTGATATACGAGAGCATGTGGACAGCAGCTCATTGTTTTTTTTTCCCTTAAGCTAGGGAAGCTTTTTAGGGCCTAAAAAGGGGGTGTTTCTGTTCAATATCTTTGGACATATTTTTAGCCTTTTGAAATAGAGGTTTTTTGGGGGGTTCTAGTTATTACTAAATATTCAGCAGTTCTCGGGAAAGGCGCGAAGTTCCTTGGCTTTATTTCATTATTGGCCTAGGGACTAAATTGTGCAACTCTTACGTCAATAGAGCATTGATGGTCCAGGTAGTAAATTCTGCAATTCTTACGTCAATACCTAATAAGGTTTCTGCAGAGTTTTGAGCTTAATTTCTATGAAGTGCCTAATGCATGCGCATTTTCCTTGTCATTTTTTCTTGTTTTAAGTTTATTTGATCAGAAATATGTTAACCTTTTAGCTTTTCTTTTTTTGGTTTACGGGGTTATTTTTATGTCATATGAGGTTGATATCTCAGGAAATGCTTATAGAGCTTTTGAATAATATATATTTAAGTGAATTCCTTGCAAAATGTCTGATGCTTGCTAACATTTACAGTGATTTTCGAGAGCATGTGGACAGCAGCTCATTATTTTTTTTTTCCTTAAGCTAGGGAAGCTTTTTAGGGCCTAAAAAGGGGGTGTTTCGGTTCAATATCTTTGGACATATTTTTAGCCTTTTGAAATAGAGGTTTTTGGGGGGTTCTAGTTATTACTAAATATTCAGCAGTTCTGGGGAAAGGCGCGAAGTTCCTTGGCTTTATTTCATTATTGGCCTAGGAAGGGCCTTTGGAGCTCCAGCACTGCTTGTTAAGTTTGATACCTTTGTAGTGCTATGAAACAAAGATTTTTAAGCTTAATTGGTTGTAATGTAAATATTCAATTTCATGTTACATTTTCTTTTTCTATTTTACTGTTTGTGTCTTTATTTGCCTTTTGTTATTCATATCCTTTTGGTGGTTCAGTGGTAATCTTGGTTCTTTGCCCTGGAAAACACTTGGAGCTTTGAAATAACTTTCAGATTGTCTCATGCATGCCAAATTTGTAGTAATTTGAAGCATGGTCAGCAGTTCCTTGCATTTATTGGTTATTAACTAGAATTCTTTATTGCTTTTTTTTTTTTGCTGTTGTGGACTGTAGAATTCTTTATTGCTTTAATAAGCTGTATCTTGCACGGTTTTACTGCAAGAGATTTCAAGAAATCATGGCTTAATGTGAAGCCCAACTTCAATGCGGCCAATTATTTGCACTGCCGTCTTATGCTTTTTTTAAAATTTAGTTTCAGTTGTTTCTATTGGATGCATTTTAGTTAAAATTTGAGACTTTATGAAGGAATATTGGAGGCAAATCTCTTGAGGATTTGTGGGAAATGGGGTACAATTTTATGCGGCTTACTTTTTCAAAGTAGGGTTTACGTTAACAGTCTGGGATAGTATGCATTAATATTTTTTCTTCGTCTTTCCCTTGCCTGGGCTAGGTCTTCTTGAATTTTAGGCTACTGACTAAGAAAATTTCTCGAAACTGAAGTTAATTTCAAAGTTATACCATATGTTTGGCTTTTTTTAGGCCAATTTTCTTATTGAGTTCTGTATAAAAGGCTGCTTGTTTTGTGTTCTTATATATATAGAGGTGTTTTAAGAGTGGCTTCCAAAGAAACCATGCAACCACATTTTTGAAATCACCTAAAAAGCCCCCAAAACATGCTCATTTTGCAGCGGCATCGAGACAATTCCTGATATAATGCAGAGTCTTACAACTAAAGTAAGTTCCCCAAAGTCTTGAGTTTGTGCTCATTCTCAAAACATAAGACCTTTTCTGTTTTTGTGTCATAGAGGGAAACAGGGGCTCATTTTGATTGTGATGATTTAGAGAGAAAAATGAAGTATCATGATCTGGGTGTTTAAAACAGAGTTTCCTGAATGCTTATCATCTTGTCCTCACCAATACGTCATCAGATTACCTTCTTTGAACACGTACCATCTCACCCAACTTTATAAATTCATCTAGTAACTTTGTTTTACCTAGTTTTTGGATTTCGTCAAAGTACCTTCATCTACAATTGATTCACCACCTGCAAGCTATAGAGTTTGGTGCACCAGTACTCGCTCATATCATTCAGATACTCCTTTCTTATAAATAGCTTGCAGTGTTCACCATCATCCACCATCTGTCTTGAAAGTGCATGATTGACCCTCCTTAGACTGTGTACCCCACCACCATTTGTACTTCAGCCAGATAATCCATGTGCCTTTGGGCATTCCACTCACATTTCATTTTATTCAATTTATTCTATTAACTATGACTTTTTTTGTTTGTGTTGCTGTGCTTTTCTGTCTGCTCTAGCAGTCCCTAATTTGATATAAAAGAGCTCCTTCTTTAAAGTTTTGGCAGGATGTAATGCATAATGAACTCTGAGCACTTCAGGAGAATCATGTAGGAGATTGTTCCTCATCCATGGATATTTATCCTGTAGGTATTAATTGGGCTTTTACAAGGCTGACTTACGAGGCTTTCTTTTGGGCTATTGGCTGGTTTGATAGCCAATGTGCCTTACCAGCAGCTAAGGATTGAGTCTGATATATAACCTCTGGTTATGCTCTGAAAATAAACCTTTTGTGGTGATGAGTGGGAGGGATGCCCGGAGTCTTGGTGCTTCACTATCGACTACTGTGTTCTTATTAAATGTCTGAGACATAATGCCAAAATCACTTATGGAGCAGAGGACTATTCTCTCTCCTTTGCTTGTTATGAGATTGTTTGGTTCACCATACTTCTTTGTGGTGTCAGAGCCCCTTATACTTTTTCGATTATTTTAAGCACAAGCCATCAAACCAACTATCTGTCATTTTAACTACATTTATGTTGATTTCAGTCACACTTATGATAAGTTAATGATTGGTTTCTCTCTCACATAGTTGTTTACTAGTCACAGATAACTGACATGGTAATCAGGCAGATGAGGCCTTGACATAAGACTTGAATCATTTTGTGGTTTTCTTGAGTTTATTGCACTACTTTGAGGCGTAGGAGGGGTGGGTCAATGGATAGTGGGTGCTTTGCATCCTATATGGAGCCTTTTAGTATATTTCTACATGTCAATACTTGTGTGGTTTTATTAATGTTCTTTGCATTGTGTAGCCTGTACTCAACTGTTTGCAGTTTGTAGTTACCACGAAGGAAATTCTATTTGAGTATGATAACCTTCACAAAAATTAGGTAGTTTTGGACATATGGAATACACACTATTGCTGAGAGGTGGGAATCATGTCTATGGCTTTATAATACTTGATCTAAAGGATCCTATTTTTACCAGAACTCCTTACTTGCATTTATATGGGTCCCTTGTTATTGTCTTTAAATCTGGTGCCTTCGTTCAAGTTGGTTTTTGATGAAATTACATATGCTAACTTATCTGGTCATTTGACATGTAGTTCTGCATATGAGGAATCACGGTTCTGTGAAGGTTTTCACTTAGATGTTGCTGGATGGAGGACCTGTGAGACATGTGGAAAGGTTGGTGAATTGCTTTAAATTAACTTAATGAATGAGAAGCTATAAATCCAATTTCAGGACTTGTACCCGACAATCAAAGGCTGTTCAAAATGTGCAAGTAGAAAGATTGTTTTGTGCATTCCAATTTATGTTGTGAACTACATGGTAATTTGTAATTTTTGGAACATAATCCTAATAATAAATTTCCAATATCCAGCGTATACACTGTGGATGTGTTGCTTCAGTTCATACATATATACTTCTGGACACTGGCGGAATTGAATGCATGCTGTGTGCCAGGAAAAGCATCCTTTTTGCGGTGAGAAAATTAATTTTTGGTTAGTAATATGAGTTCACTCGCTCTCCTGAACTTTAGACTTATTAATGATCTTGGACTGCTTCCTCGGTTTCTTGAGGAAAATGGTTTTCCTCACATTATGAGCCAGAGTGTGTTAATTACAATAAACTGTAGTATCCAATTATGTGATCATAAAATCCTTTTTCGATTTTAGTATTTCTTATCTTCTATTTGATTGTGAGTTTATGACTATGAAAAATTGTGTATAGTATGGTCGTTTGTGCAAATAAGTGGTGAGGAATCTGCTTGGCCTCAGAACTGAGTAACCAAAAAGTATGTTAGCTATTACTCATTGTTTTTCTTTTCTTCAAATAATTTATGTTAACTGTTTGGATATTGGCTGGTCATGGTCAGTTCCTTGATACTATTCCTTTATCGACACTTGTAAGGGAGCAATGCAGTGTGCCTGTATACAGTTTCTTGAAGCTGGACTAGGTTACTAACTTTTTATAGTTTGGCATGGATTCTGATTTTTTTACAGCTGGGTTCAAGAAGCAGCATGATAAATCAACTGTATGTAGGAAAGCTGCAGATCAAGGTGCAGGGATGAGAAACAAAAATATGTGAATGGGGTTTTGGCAATTAATTTTCCATGCAATTAGTTTTTCCACCAATTCCCATTGAACATCTTGACCATCTTATCCTCAGTTGATTTTGTTTTTCTTTACACAGATGGGATGCAATACTTTCATTATTCTAGTTCTTGAGCTTTTGCGAGTTGAAACAGTGATAAAAATATCATTACATGATAGAAGTATCAAGAATGAGTAGTTGATGCTTTCATTTAAGAATTAGACTGTGTTTTATGAAGTCGTATCTTTGGTTTAGTAATGATTGGAGGTATCTTTATATATGTTAGGGAAATGTCATTTAAGCGGTTGAAACCCTTTACAAAATCATTAAAAAGGTTAAATGATCTCAATTAACATTTGAAGGGTTGTCTTTTCCGTTTTCATTTCACTTAGGTACCCCTTAAAAAAAAAAGAAAAGAAAAGAAAATAAATTAAATTGTCGTTGTTTAGGATTGGGAAGGAGGAACAATCAGGGGCATTTTCAGTAATTTGACCCCTAAGAGGTCCCATTATACCCTTAGTTGTTCCTTGTTACAAATAAGAAACACACTGTTCAAGATTAGATGAACAACTAGGCATATGTTTGTCATTTGATACATGTAAGGCACTTGGGTGCTAAATGAAAAAAATAACCCTTATTTGTTCCTCATTACTGATCCTAAATGGTGTGCTCTTGTTTGTAATGAGGAACAACTAGAAGTATTTTTTCATTTGGTTGGGGCTTCTTGGGGGACAAGTTTCGGAAATGCGCTTAATTGTTTATTCTTTTCCTACCCTAGACAAAGGCAATTTGGGAATTTGTAAATTTTTTTTTGAGGTGGCACCTAAGTGAATTGAAAAAGCAACCACTTAAATGTTAATTGGGATATTTTGACCTCTTTAATGATTTTGTAAGAGATCTCATCCCCTTAAATGATATTTTCCCTATATTTTAAACGCTTAGGAAGCATTGAGATCTTTATATTGTGAAAGATCAGGATATTCCAGATTCTGAGTTGCTTTTAATGTTCTTGGATTTGTGAGATGTTGGTTGTTGTTATATCTTTCTCAAAGAGAGGATTATTAGAACTTACCTTTATCACAGTGATTAGGAATAGACATTATTCAGGCACTCTGTTCGGCTTCCTTTTTTTTTGGTTCATTTATTTCTTTCTATGCTTGTGCAGGGTTAAGCAGTTCCATGTCTTCACATGTGTTTGTAAATGATGCCTTGACCTTTATTTTGAATGACTAAACTGTTCCACTTCTATACTGTTTTTTACAGGCACCAAATCAGATATGGCCATCACCGATGTTTCTGCCTCTACCTCCATCTGATAGGCTGGTAGACCGCCCTGTTAATGCTTGGTCTCAGATAGCTGCATCAAATTCTTGTTCTGGACAGGTGAAGCAAGTGCCACCCTTAGGGTATTCTGCTACTAATCCATCTGAGTTTCAATGCATGCAATATCTGGATGGAGGCATATTCCATAACATTGACAAGTCGTTTCCGTGCAACCAGTCCACTATACCCATTTTCGAGAAGAAGAGAATCATTGAAGATTCACTTGAGAGAAAGCCTAGTCACCATCTAAAAAATGAAGCACTTGGAGAACCTGTTGTTGGGCACACTAGCATTGAGCCAATCAGTGGTTTGAATACATTCCACAGTGAAGAAGAAAAACCAGAGGGCAAGCCAGATTGTTCTCGCATTGCAGGAGGTCGCAGTTCTGTTGATGCAAGAAAAAGTGTTTCTGAAACTGACCTTGGTAACATATTGGGAAGGAACTTGGATGTATCAAGTTCGTGTATAAGTGTTTCACGGCAGTCTTTAAATGCAAAGGATGATATTTCCTTGCCACTTCTTGGCTTGGGTGTCTCTGTGTCATCACCAGCTGAGACAATGGATGCAACAAAGGTTTCTGGCTGTGAAACACGAGAAAGGTCGTTACAGCTGTTTCCTAGACAATATCTTCCTGGAAGTTGCAGTGGATTTCAGTCATCTGGAGACTTACGATCTCCAATGCGCATTGCAAGGCCTCGAGGGGAAGGAAGGGGGAAGAATCAGTTACTTCCTCGATATTATCCAAGGATTACGGATCAAGAGATTCAACAAATAACAGGAGAGTATCCTCCATTTTAAATATTGTTTTATTGATTTCATGGAAATTTGACCTCAAGTGGGAAAATGATAGTGTTTATAAGTCCATTGATAGCTTTGCTTTGGAAGCATGGATACTGATGTCCATGTGCTATTAGTCATGCGAAGATAGTTTTTCTTTTTGTGCCCTGTGGAAAAGTATTCTTATCAATTATAAACTTAACAAATGATGACCTACTTTGCTTGGCCTTGACCATTTCTAAGCTCAAACTCTGTCATTACACCTTTATTTGAGAAAATGTTAAGTGCCAGTGATGCTGGTCGGATAGGGCGTCTGGTGCTGCCAAAAAAATGTGCTGAGGTAAGCTTTTCATTATTTACTTAATATATAAGAAAGATTTATCACTTATTGGTTAAAAGATGTATCTATGGAATGAGATTTGAAAAACAGAAAACCTTTCCCTGCTATTAAGATATGGTGAGATGGTGATAAAAATAGGTTGTGTTGTTGCTCACAAATTAATTCTCTAAAAGTCTTGATCTAGTTTGGTTGATGATTACGACTAATAGCATGTGTTGTGGAAATAACTATTTCTGCAACCATATTGAGTTGTCCCTCTAGATATATATTCTCTTGTCCATTTTGATATGTTGTGGTGTGTGTTACAGCCAGTGAAATATGTGTCATTACACTTTTTTATTGATTCTTTTCAATTTCAATTCTTCTTCATCGATGAACCATACCATATCAAATGGAAACTTGTGTGACTTTTTTCATTGATATTATCAAAGGATCTGTTGCAACGTTGAAGTTAACATTTATTAGAAGTTTTGTATAGTTTTGTAAAAATGAAGGTATGAAGAAATTTAGGTCTAATGAAGGTTGCAGATATTTTATTTGCATTGTCATTCAGTAACGCTGTCTTTATTCTCTTTGTAGTCTTATTATTTGTTATAGAATGTTGTCAATGGAGTATTTTTCACAGGTTTTCATTATGATTCTTTCAACATTCATTGTTTGTCTTATCCACTGTATACTATAATTTATCAGATGGAATCAAGAGGAAATTATTTTCAATGTGTTCTTCGCAACTGAAACCTGGGGAGTTTAAGAATTTTCTTCATATGAAATTTATTTTACATAACAAAAATGGCAGCGTAATCTATGATATTTTTCTTTGAACTCATGTTGTTAAGATTGGACTGGGCGAGATGCACTAGTTCACCTGTCAGACCTGTCAAATAAAAAAAAAGAAGGAAAAGTAAAAAAATCAAACTATAGAAATTATGGAAACACCAGGAAAAATTAGAAAATAGAAAAATTCAAAAATTTTTTAGGAACCAAAAATAAAATAATAATACGCAACAATGTTTTAAAAATCCGTGATCTGGATCGAAAATCACCAATTTAGAGTAGGTATTGTTGGAGAACATGCTGGTTCCTAGATGGAATCGGCAATTTTATAATATATATGACATTTTATGTCTATTTTAATCCAAAGTATTGGAATGGCTTTTTGGGTCAGCATGTACGTGTTTCGAGCCACCTTAAATATACTCCATTGTATTTAATGTGTAGGCTTGTGCTTTTTTCAGGAGAATATTACCCCCTTGTTTTTAAGGAGTTAAAAAAAACACATGCCCATGAGGTGGTCTGATCCACCGACCACGTGTAAAGCGCCATATGATCTAACCAGGAAGCCATGTGAAGCTTGCTGTAAGAAATGCCTATGTTATATTCTATTTATTATAATTTTTGTTTTTTTTATTTTTTTAGAACTTTTTGTGGATAGCCAAATTTGGATGATCCGGCCAACTCGAACTGGGATCAGTGGTGGATGATCCAACCTGCCGATCCGGGTTTTTAAACATTGATACATAGTATGTCAATATCTGAATTCAAGTCTCATGCTGCATTTCAATAAGTCATCAGGCAATAAGCCATTAAAATACTCAAAATACCCAAGACTCATTGTATGGATCAAATTTCGTCAATGAACATTCGTCATAGTTCCATTGAAGTGTCAAAGAACCAAAAAGAAATAGAAAAGAAAATTAGAAGAAAACCACAAAAATCTAATATTTGTATACAAAGAAATGGATAGTAGCTACCAAATAAACAAAATCTAACAAGAACAAACATATTAAAAAAAAAGAAAGGAGGGTTTTTTTCCATCTTTTTAGGATGTGTCAGGAGCCGCCGGTTTGGTGCTGGACCAGTGGACTGGCTGGTCATCCAGTTCAATGGACAATCTAGCCTAGGGGGTTGATCGGATAAGATTAGCCACTTGTTCTCTGGTTTTCTGTTCAGATCAGCTGGTCTGACCCGGTTTTAACATCAAGTTGAATTACTGATGCCTTTGTCTCTGTTTGGTACCTTATTATTTGTATAGGGTTGCTAATGTTATTTTCCTTCTTGGTCGCCATGTTTTACATTTTGGGTGTTTGAGGTTTCAGATGTTAGAGAACTGATTTGCAGTCGCTTATCATGGATATTCTACCATTTGTCGTACAATGTAAATTCTTTATTGTTTTAGAACATTTCTAAAATTCTTTCTCTATCTTAATCCCCTGCACTCTGCTTTTCATATCAACCTTCCCTCTGCTGCTGCTACTTCTACTGCTGTTACTGCTGCTACTACTGCTAGTACTAGTGAGGGTTTTTATGAAGAACCGATTTTCTATATGGAGAAAAAAAACCAATATTTTGAAACTTCTAAAGCCCCTAAAAGTTAAATTTTGAATAGATTTGAAATGAATTATCTATCATATACAACGTTGAACAATATGATTTTGCTTTCATGATGCCTGCACGTCAAATGAAAAGAGATTGGACTCATTAGTGTATTTTCCTGTGTGTTTTAAACAGGCATATTTCCCTTCAATATCTCAGCCTGAAGGATTGCCACTAAGAATCCAGGATGCTAGAGGTAAAGAGTGGGTATTTCAGTTTCGATTTTGGCCTAACAATAACAGCAGGATGTATGTCTTGGAAGGTGTGACACCTTGCATTCAGTCTATGCAGTTGCAAGCTGGTGATACGGGTACTATTAATTTCTATTACTCTACATCTTATGCATCGTTCTTCCCATGATCAAGAGAGGTGCCAATGTGTGATATGTCCATCTTATGGTCAAGTTCAGAAAACACAAGCAACTGAGAATACATATTTCAATTGAATTATCTTTTTGGGTTTTTATTTACATAAACACGTGGTCATCCTATTGCGTACTTTGGGATGTTGAATATAATCTTACACTCACAGAAGAATTTCTTGATCTCTGTTATTACCAGTCTACCTTGTGTTCCTATTTTTTTTTTTCGTTGTTGTAGTGAATATTATTTTAGTTGTAAATTACGCTTTGATGTTGAAATTGTGACATATTTCCCAGTAACCTTTAGCCGGATGGATCCAGAAGGAAAGCTTGTCATGGGATTTAGAAAAGCTGCAAGTGCTCCATCTGAACAGGTTGGCTTCATATATTACTAAAAACTGTTCAATTATATCTTTTTGAACGTACTGTGCTAATAGTTAGGTTCTCCTTAACTTAGTTTGGGCATCTTCTGCAACTAGTTGAAATTGTTATTATGAGTTAAATATACTAATTAACACTGATTTCTCTATACTGATTTTATTTACCTTTCCTTGTCATCATCAGAGCCTTTTCTCTATATTGATTTTTATTTACCTTTCCCCGTGCTGTTACTTAATACAATATCAATTCTCATGTCCTAATATTAGCAAAATACATTCTCCTTTTTGTGTTTTTATCCTACTGTAATGATAATAGTTCCACAAAAAAATTCTCTCATTACAAGAAAGCATTATTTTGGGAATATGAATCACTAGTGTGGTGAGCATTGTAGCTGTATTTTGACATTGAATGTGAAATGGACCTCTAGAAAGAGGCTTAATAATGTATTAGTTTTCAAGTAGCATACGAATCACAAATGAACCATCCTGGTCCTTCAGGAATGCTTTCCTTTCTAGTTGAACCTTAGAGATCAAGGTATAGTGCTCTACCCTTGTGAATGGCAGCCCAGCATAGATCTTGTTGTAGTTTTTCATTTATGAAGTAGAGAATTAAATATTATGAACTCGTTGATTTTTCTTTTTAGTTGTATATCTCCAGTAAGATAGCTTTTTTTCCTAAGAAGGTTAAATTTTCCAAGGAGTTGGCTTTTGTTCATGTCATTTTTTATTTGTTCAACAATGTTACTGGGACTGCATGGCTTTCAGGGGGCTTAGTTTCTAATGAATCATACCTTGTACTTAACAATCCAAGTTATACAATGTTAAAAGATGAATTATAGTTGCTCGAATGTCCATAGTCCCCTTCAATCCCAAACCTATGATTCTCGGTGTTTCTTCTCTTTTTAATGGGTTCATCTCCTTACGAATGAACTAGGCATCCTGACACCTGGTATCAAGATTTTACTTGCTTATGATCTTGTTTCACACATGAAGATTTAGTTTAGATGTTTCTACTCTTTTTAGTGGGTTCATCTCCTTACAAATGAACTAGACATCCTGATTCATGGTATCAAGATTTTACTTGCTTATGATCTTGTTCCACACATGAAGATTTAGTTTTAGGTGCTCAAAAGTTCTTTGGTCCTAAACCGCTGATTGTAGAGTTCATCCAGACACAACAATAATAGCTCGCAGTTTGTTGTGATGACAATTTTGTAGGTAGGCAGAATTTCTTGAAACAACTGCCATTCTGGTCATCTATAAGTGCATTTGATTTGTTGGCATTTTTGAGAAGCATACCGTACTTGCTTGAACTCATTTATTTCAGTCTCCTCTATACTGTTTTACATTCCACAGTTTACAAGTTTGCTTATTATGGTAAAAAGGTTGTATTTATCTTAGTTTCTAAATTAAAGTATTTATCTTATTTTCTTTATGGAAACCAATTTTGTAGAGCCACACAAATAGGGATTGTATACTATAGGACCATTAACTTTTGGTACATCAAGTTCACAATCATCCTTAGCCATCGGATGTGAAATGCGATAGCTTGAAGTGTGTCACATGGTTTGAGAAATTTTATTTTGGACCTTGTATCAATGTTATGAGGACCGGACAGGTGAATGAATTGGTGAAGGCACTGGTGCGGTTGGACCGGCTGAACCGGACCGATTCACTAGTGGGACCAGTCTAAGAAATTAAATAAATTAATAAAAATAATAAAATAAGGAAAAATGGGAAAAAATAGTGAAAAATATGGAAAAAAGGAAAAATCTAAAAAATAAAGAGAAGTTAAAAAATATTAGATTAAGAGTTATTTCCAAAATCTATTAAACTGTGAGATAGGTTTGAAGTTTTAAATTTTGTTTCTAGATTTTGTAATTGTCAACTATTTCTTTCAAGGAGATTATGCAAAACTCTGGATATCTTTGAATATTTTTTAATTTTCTCAAAACAAAATCTGTAAATTTTGAAGTAACGTGCGATGTCAGGATGATTTGTGCAGATTATTATGAGTTTTTGTTTAGTTTTGCAGGTTTCTATTAATTTCCCTTCATGATTTCCTTTAATGAAGTTGGTGGTTTTTATTTTTATTTGTGTTTTGAGAAAGTTCCATTGGGGTTATTTGAATTAATGTTAAGATTGGCTCATTATGCTTCAAAAAAAGGTTTTGGTGATGTCTTTTGGTGGTGAAGAAAGTCCATGGACCTGTCTTCAACATTGACCTGCTAAGGTCGGTTTGCTTTGCTCTAACTTTGAACATATCCTTCAAAATTCAAATAGACATATACTTGATAAAAAATTCAAATAGACATACTTAATAAAAAACTGACCTGAAGTTGGTTGGATCTTATCGGATCTGGCCGGTTCTTACATCATTGCTTTGTACCCAATCAATGAAAAACCTCTAGGAACTAGATTTCATACTATCAGTGAATAATTATTATGACTTCCTTATACCCAAAGGAAATGGTCTAATTGTATACATTTCCACAGACCGAAAGACTCACTGGTTCACCGGTCGAATCGGCTGGTTCGGTCCGGTTCTTACATCATTGCTTTGTACCCAATCAATGAAAAACCTTTAGGAACTAGATTTCATACTATTAGTCAATAATTATTGTGACTTCCTTATACCCAAAGGAAATGGTCTAATTGTATACATTTCCACACAAATAGTGCTAGCGTGTACTGAATTTATATGATTTTGTGGTTAAATTTGAGTTAAATTTTTTTGTTTTGAAAGTTATCAAAATACCTTTCATTCCTTTGTAGGATTTGTGATATAATTTTAATATTAGATTATCTTAACGATATTGATCAAAACGCTTGTTTCATTGTTGAAAAAAATGTTAACAGATGGAAAATGATTGAAATTCCTAGGCGCCTCCTTTCATTTGAAAGGCTTGTATGTTTTATATTTGGTCAAAGCACCACATTGGTCACCTGTCTGTGACATATCTTTGGTCAAAACCTTGGTGAACAGATTAAGTGCACTACACAAAGTCCAAGTCCACATCGTAAATGTGTGAAACTATATGGTTTGCACACCTTTCCTCTCACTGGTTGGATGTATTCTAGGATAGTTATATCTAGATGCTTACAAGATTCCTTCCTGATATGAGTTGTTAGTCTGTAATACATATTGAGAGATGTTTTACAAGTTATTTATTCAGGATACACATGGAGAACTAACCAACATTATTTCGTAACAATATGTTTCATATAATTTCATGCTAACAAGTTTATATCTTGATAAAGGGATATAAATTCTGTTCTTCTTCGGCTGTTCTTTCTCTCACGCACAAACAGACACACAAAGGGCTATTCTAGCTTACGCATTCTCTGAGCATAGATTGGTGCATATTTTTGACAAGGAGTTCCCTTGGTTGTGTTTTCTTAAATATTTGTCTCAGGGGTCAGTTTTGCCATTTTGAGAGGGCATCCAAAATTGATGGGATGGCTTTCCATGCATGTACACTTTCCCATGCTAGATGTCATTACCAGATATACATGAATATTTCATCTCTGTTCTGGTGAAATGATAGAGATGGCCCTAATCCTACATTTTAGGATAACAACCCCCAACCATATGTGTGTGCATGTGAAAAGACACATGAACATAAGGCAGCCCTATGAGTTGCATTATTTGTAGAATAATGGAGACACTCTCTTTCTTTACTTTTAGTCATGTCGAGTTTGTGAATTTTTCCATTGATGTAAACTGAATGGGGAAGCTTAGTCTGATAACTTTTCTCGGAGCCTTTATGGTTGATAAGTGGATTAGGAGTAGCTTTCTGTGTCCAATGTGTTGCTTAAATACTGGATGTTCATCCTTGCTTACTTTGTTCTTCATATTTTCATTTGGACCATGCCCTTGCTTCTTTAAGCCTGTTTGTCATTCATTACAAACTTGTTTCCCATTGTCAAGTCTAGATGGATTAGTAGAGAAGATTAGGACTTCTTAGGTTGGGGACTGATGCTGTCCTGAGAATTCACTCAATATCCAATATATATAGTTCTTATTGTTAAGAAGATTTTGATTTGATGCATGTTTTGAGGGATACCTTTGCGTAATTGCCCTTGTCTTACATATGCATAGTGTTGAATTTTATAAAAAGCAAGCATCTAGATGGGTCATTTAATTGAATATATGTTGATTAGTTCATGGAAACCTGAATATCTTATTGAAAAGATCTATCCCAAGACATTATGATGTGCATGTCTTTGTGTGTGCCTAAAAGCAAAAACTTGTAAGTTATTAGCATTGTTAATGTGGAATGGTACATCTGAAAATTTTTGCAACTTAAGTAAGCTATTTCACTTGACTTCAATCTGATATGAATTGTAGTTCATTTCCCTAAAAATGATATGTTATTAATTATAAAGATTTCTTTTTTACAAATTGAATGAAAATGTGGCTATCCAAGGATTAGATAACTTTGGGGACCATGCTTAAAAGAATCTTATTAGGAAGATCATTAATTTGTGGTGGTTAACAGTTTTATGATGATGTTAAGTTGAGTTTATTGATGAAGGCCATAGCCTATGCATTCCTTGCTTTCCCATTTATTTGAAGGCAGTGCCGTCTGTAACTTTCCTCCATAAGTTTAATGTTCATATAAGCACTTTAATTCACATGAGACCTGCATTTGGAAAATAATATTTATTGCAATGTATTGACACAATTTGTCTCCATTCTGGTTCTGCATTTGGCTCAGAGCCGCCCAAAAATTTCAAGATTTCAGTCTGGAATTTTTTGGTCTCTTATTATTATTGTTATTTAAAATGAATGTTAAAACTACTACTCAAAAAGTCACCTTAATGCTTTGCTTGAAGCATGAAAAAAGTTAATGCGGCATTAAAATTCATATTAGTCTAGTGCATGAATATTTCATGTGTAACACATCTGATTTTAAGTTTTTCAGAGGAAATACTTGATGCATTTTATTATCATCTGATTTTAGGATGCTCAAGTTCATAAGCAAGGAAATGGTATATCCACCATTGGAGAAACAAACCATGGAAGTGGTGCGGCTGGGGAAGCAACTTCAGCTCTTCCATTTCGCTCTTCAAAAGGCGCTACAGAATCAACAAATTATTCTTCAAACAGCCAGTTTCACTCACTTGATCCAGCACTTCCACTGTCAAGAGATAAGGAAGCTTGTATGTCAAAAGAAGGCTCTAATTCTAAGTCTCTTTTCCTTTCTGATAAAAGGAAAAGCAGCACTTTAGGATCAAAGAGTAAGCGTTTGCGAATTGATAATGAGGATTCTATAGAACTGAAGTTGACATGGGAAGAAGCTCAAGACTTACTCCGCCCTCCTCCTAACCATCCTCCTAATGTTGTTATAATTGAAGGTCATGAGATTGAGGAATACAAGGTATGCTGGCTATAAGTATGTGTAGGGAAAGTTGTCTGAAAAATTAGCATTTGGTACTTGACACATGCAAAATATTCTATGATCTCTAATAGATATTCAATGAGCACTATTCTTTTCATCTTCTCTTCATGCAAATAATTGATTTAATGTTCCATACTGCCTATTTTCTGAAATGATGACGCTTATGTCTCTCTCTTTTTAGAAGTAAATTTCATGTGAAGAGGAGCTCTCACTAAGACATGCACAGATAGACCAAAGCTGACACACGATATGGTTTTTTTCATTAATCACTATAGAGGCTTTTTTAGGTCAATGTTTAAAAATAGCAATTTGGCATGTGGATATAATGTCCTATGGAACTGGTTCATACATAACAGTTGGATGATTTTACGATGACTCTTGCTGGGTAATTTATTTTCAAGCAAACAACTTGGCTTTTTGGGTGTGAAACATGCCTGAGTTTGGATGGTGGCAATTGTCATTATTCAGCAAAGCACTTTGGGATACATAAAGGCAAGGAACAAGACATCCATGTGTGTGGTGATCTTATTGCTTGGAAGCCTAAATCTAGAAATCAAATTAAAAAACAATTGAAAGATGAGTGTTTTAGTGACTCGTTAGCCTAAGATTATCTTGATAAATTTGTGAGATTAGGGGCATTTTTGACATAACTTGATTGACTTAGTCTCTTTCTACAATGGTATGAAGCTGCATATCCATTTGCGGCATAATTATGTATTATGCATGTATGTCTGCTTGGATGTCTATATGAATTGAGAATGTATCCATGCATGCATTTGAACCCATGTGCACGTGCTTGTTCATGTATTTACCATAGTTAATGGGATATCCTATCGAAAATGGCTCTCCTTAGGAATGGGTTCAAGGCTAGGTTGAGGGTGATGGAGCACCACAACATGTGGTCGTGAGTTCTATTCTTATCATGGGCAGGGGACTCTTTCTCCATTGAACTATCCAAGAAAAAAGAGAAGGGAATGGGCTCAAGGTTAGGTGGTCAGAGTGGCAGGACACCATTACCTAATGTCTTGAGTTCCATTCCTACCACGGGTAGGAGACCCCATCCCCACTGAACTACCCAAAAAAAACAAAGAGAAAAAGAAAAAAGTGGCTCTCTTGAACTGGTTCCCAATGCATTCTACTTTCCAGAATACTTTCCCAAATTTTTTGGGGACTCTTTATAGTAAAGTTGTTAATGGAGTGTATGATCTCTCCTTTGGGAGGCTCACATTGTCGGACCTATAAAATGCATCATGAATAAAATTTTGGGTTTTAACCTTGCATTATTTAGAGAAGTTTATTTTATTTTAAGAATTTATTTATTTTTCATGTTTATCATAGGAGCTGCTCCCTTGGTGTTCCCTAACTAGGAACTTGTGACAGCAACGATCTCCTTCTCTTGATCCTGCTTCCTCTCCCAAAAACTTTGATACATACATACCATGTCAAGTCTGTGTATGTTTTGATATGTAATTAACTTCTATTTTAGGAATGGGCTGGGGTTGTGGTGGTAGCACCCAGTTACCACATTGTGGTATCCATTCCTACCGCTAACACCCCCAATTAACCCTTCAAAATGTAAAATGTAACTCCCTAATCTATTGAAAAAATGGGTAGGGGCCTATCTTCCCCACTGAATTACCCAAAAAAAAAAAATTAACTTCTATATCGGTACAATGAAATTTCTCAAGGTATCCAAACCAGGAAAGTGATGATCATGTGTCTGACAGTGATATGGTCGGCACAACAAATGCTGTGTAATGCTGAGGTTTTGTCTATATTGTATTAATTAATTTGTACTTTAATGTTCTTTTGGCTTCCTTTTGTTGCTCAAAACATAAAGTCCCAAAAAGATAACTATAAAGAAGAAAAGGCTTCCTCTTTTGGATAAGTGGTTCTTCCTTATGATGCACAAATATGGTACTTCCTTCTTGAATATCTCTAGATGTAGGCTAATTTGTTAGTACACTCAGTACTTTAACAGATGATCAGCATCATTTGGGCCCTGTAAAGGCACATTCATGCTAACTTATGCAGGTGTGTACTTTTCTACTTTATACAATCAGACCTTTGTTAGTAAAGTGTTTTTTCTGTTCTAATAGAGATGCGACAATTGGAATGGTACAGTGAAGTCTATGTTATGTTACATGTGTCACATATTGGTGTGTTAACTAGATCAGATGAGGTAATTTTTATTTATTTTCCCTTATTTTCCAGTTGAACGGAAATGGTATATTAATCAATGTAAGAAAGCAGATTCTATGGACTTTGAATGTCACTGCACACATGGTGGCTATTGAACCTTATAAAGCTTTATCCAGCATTTGGTTTGGTTCTTATGTAGTTAGTTATGTTGTGCACCTTATTTCCTGGCTTGAAGTGGTAGTAGATTGGAACAAACAATTTAATTATGCTTAACCAGAATTTAATAAATTATTTAAGATGCATTTGAAGAAATTTTTCTTTTATGTGTTCTTATGCGCTCTGCTTCTTTTTTTATTGCATGTTCATAAATAATGCTTGAAATTCATGGAAGATCTTTTCTTCTGGATCAATTACATGACTTTTGTAAGCAGGAGCCTCCAGTGATAGGAAAGTCCACCATCTTCGCTACCAACAAAGCAGGGTAATCAACTAATCAGTAACCTTTGTTTTCTTGCTGTTCTTGTGTTGATTATTGAACTAGTTCTATTCAGGATCATTTGTTTGGTTTGACACTTCTTTCTTTATTGTTTGGTATAGATAAATTTTAGAATTTGATTTTTTTGGAGTTGTGTTTGAAAAATGAAAACCATTAATTTTCAAGCAATTAGGTAGTATACATTAAGTGTGTACCCAAAGTGCATGATGCCAGAATCAGATTGCGAACCTTCGTTGTGCATTTGACATAGTACGTTTAACTAATATGACGTTACCCATATCCGTGACAGTCTCATTGTGGTATCATTGTGGTTTTTATGGTTAGTCAAGGGTTGAAAACTAGCTTACCTGAAATTTTTTGGATGTCTGTACCAGAGTGATTTGGAGCTCTTAGTTTTCCAACTGTGTTTCTGGGTGAAAGACAAGGAATTCGAGATGATGAATAACAGTAGATTCTGAGAAACTTGTTCCAAAATTTTTGATGATTCATTGGTTGAACTTGCTATACTTTTCGTGGACTCTCCCAATTTTCTACCTGCATCCTAATGCATTTGCAACTTAGTTATAGACACGAGTAATTATATAAGACATGTATCCATGGACCCTATAACTAATCATACCCCTAGAACTTGCAAGTCGACAGAAGTACAGTGGGCAGCATTGTTTGATCTCCAGATGAAATACAATAAAAACCTCTAAGTTGCATTTTGATTTTAGCAGCATTACTCAAAGCAACATTTTGTTGAAACAAGTGATAGCCTATCCCTATTTCCAATGTTCAATGGAGCAAAAGTCAGTATGGTTGCCGAATCTATGTGACCTCTTATGACAGATTTCAGAAAATGAGTATTCTTAATTGACAATAAGCTGCTTTGGATGTTGGTTGTGTAAGGCTCGAATCTCTTTTCTAGTTGAAGAACAAACTCCAATCTTGACAATGAAATCAAGGTAATCATATAATTACTTTGGCAAATTCTTGATCCATGCAAATCCATTTTACTAGGGGATCAAGTGTGTCCTTGCACACTAGTATGTAGGCATGGCATTACCATGGTTGAGCATGTTTAATTCTAATATAAGGATGTAAATCCGCCTTGATTTCTGTAAAATTAAATCTAAACTATCTGGAATTGAGAAAAATAATGAAGATAAAAGGTTCTTCGAAATTTTGAACCCAGGGATTGAGCTTTTGAAATAAAAGAAAATGAAAATCCTAATCTTTTAAACAAGAATCAATTCAAATTGCTCATTATAGACTTGTGACTTTTTGTTGATGATTTAACTAGGTTTACATAGATTCATATAATTGCACAATAATAGCTTTTTTTTCTTCCTAATTTGAGTTATTTTTAAAGTCTCACAATGATGGGAGCAATGAATCAACAATTTTCGTACCCTTAACCTCTATCCTTGTATGGGTTGATGAGTTCATCTACCGACTCATAACTGGGTTTGCTCTGTCGATGATGTCTCCTAGTGGTGTTCCATTCCATTAAGGACTAAAGTGTTTCCAATGGGCATCTCTGTTATTAATTGACTTCCATCTGATGTTCGTGTTTATTGTTTATCTCTTCCCCATATCATCTTCTCAGCAGTTCATTTTATTTAACTCATATTAGAGTTTTTGAATGCATGTCATCTATTAGTGTATTACCTCTGAGCTCTGGCGAGACATGTTTCTTTGTCACTTGTGCTTCAAGGGTGCAATATCTGGCCATGATACCTTAGTAACTTATTGTCTTATCTTCCATCACCTCTTTTTCATATTCTACACCTTAGAAATCCCTTCATATCTCTCTCTCTGTACCAGGGCATATTTCTCTTGGAAGCTCTCTTTCTTCATATTTAACTCCTCTTTTTTATTTTCAACATCTGATTTCTTTATGAAATATAATTAGATGTTTTTGGACATATACCTAAAACTTTTATGCCGATGATCTTTTTTGTAAATTTAAAATAATTATACCTGCTTATAAAATTTTCCGTCCCCTCTATAAAGAAATAGTTAATGCGCAACCTGTCAAGGTATATGTATTTTAGTTCTTTAAATATTTATAAGCTTCCCTTCAGAAACTTTTTGTAAAATTTAACTTTAAAATTTTAAAAATACACACAATAGCCAGTGCTGATTGTGCGTTCATTGTAGAGCAACATGCCATGGAAGAGCAAGAATCAATTGGTTTGTTGCATCTTGTGTTGAAGTGGATTACCTTCTTTTTTTTTGTCCTGTCAAATGGTTGTCTAAGTATGTCACTTCATTTAACTATCTTGGCATCCGGTGACTAGGAAATGTCATTCACATAGCTGCAACTCTAATTGTTTATGAAGGACCAAAAGTGTTCTGGGGGTAAATGGTGGCTTTGTAACTTGTACAAGTGTTCGTCATCTTTGGGAATGATTGCATCAACAGCTAGATGGAAGTGTGCCTAATTTTCGTGTGGTGCCTTTTCTCCTTCGGATAGCATTTTTCATAATTTTTGTGTGGTGCCTTTTCTTTTAATGTATCATTTAATAAGTTCAATATATTTTCATACGGTTTATTTTGTGTCTCAACTGTAATATGAAGTGTGCCTAATTTTCCTCTGTCCCATACTTTGAATTGCTAAGTGTAAAATTTGAACGAGAGGGATAATTGGAAATTCTGCTACTTTGATGTTGGGGCATGATTAAATACTTCTGACAATTGTTGACCATTTGACATAAGCCTGTATTTTATTTACGGTTTTCGTCAAAAAGACTCTTGTGCTTGATAAATAGTAATGAGTTCGTGCCTTACTCCATGCAAATTGGTTTTCCTTTTTATTGACCGAGGGCATTTATTGTAACTATTGCTATCATAGATGAATTCTTTTCAACATTCTCTATTGGAAAGGGAATTGGCTATAGGATTAGATTATATTTTTTTGTTACTTAGATTCTTTTTTCTCCAATTTCTTACAACTCTTGACAGTTCTCATAGAGCTTGTCTGTGCAACAGGGAAAAGTACCAATGGGTTCAATGTGACAATTGTGCCAAATGGCGCAAATTGCCTATGGATGTTCTAGTTCCTCCAAGATGGACCTGTGCTGATAATTCATGGGATCCCAAGAGGTACATTGTCCAAGCTTTGTGTATTTCTCAAATTTCAGATCTGGGGTATCAAGTTTTGGCTGAATTTCATCTTAAAGTATCAAACTAATACCACCGATTAGGGCAAAATCAAATCTATTTGAGAAACAATTTTAAGATGTTTCAAATTTAAGAGAATGGCATCATTTTATTCCTGAAACTTCATTCAAAATTTGGCCAACCTCTGTCATACATACACAATTATAATTTTCTTTTGAAAAATTCGTCTGAGATTTGTAGGATTTTTTTGTTTGTCTTTTGCACGTCGCTCAGCTTTTAATTGAACCACAAATAGAAAATCTTTTTCCCCACTCTAGATTATTTAGAGCTGCAGCAAGCGCTTATATTCTTTGGATAAGGTAAGATCTGCCAACCACATCTAGGATGGCGGCTACAACAAACATGAATCTAATCACATTATTGTTCTCTCTGCGTCTGAACTTGCATATGCATGTGCCACGTGCATAATTCTGGCAAGTGGTACATGCATTTTATATGGCATTGGCCAATGACAGGGATTTAACGTTCACTGATCCGGATCGGAATTGGCTGATCTTGATCGGGTTTGGTGGGTCGGTAACCCAGGTCAATGGTACCAGGATAAATCGCCCGATTTCTACTGAGTTGAATTCTTTAATATTTTTTAAGGGTTCATTGTTATTTAAGCCCGAAGAATTAGCTGATCCGGATTGGGATAGCCGATCCATGTTGGTCCAGTGGGTAACCAAGTCGGCCACACAATCATCATCATCCAGGCCTTATCCCAACTCTTTGGGGTTGGCCACACAATCTGGTTTTTAAAACACTGGTCAATTAAAAGGATGCTGCACCATCAGAAATCAATTTTGACTAGCAAGTAATCATTTTTACAGAATTTCAAGATTTTACCATCTTTATAGTGGTTTATGGTTCAAAAATTATTTTATATAACAGCTTTGGATATGAAATCCTTGCATCGATTTCTGAAATTCCTACCCCAGTTGACCATTAAGTACAAACTTTCAATATGGTGTAACACCCCATGATTTTCAGGTCCTCATGTTCATCGGCACAGGAATTGAGTACAGAACAGACTGAACATCTTCTTCAAACGCATGCTGGTATGATTGAATAATATCATCAGTCAATCCTTTTTTCAAACTATTGTTACTGTGATTTGGTTAAAAAGATGCCTTGATGCTCCGTTCTTATCAAAAATAAAAAAAGTTCAGATATTTCGTGTAAAATATATCACTATACGTTCAAAAGAACAGTTTATTTTGCTAGCTTACAAGAATTCAGTCAAATGTATTTGTCATTTGTGTAACTCACTGTTTTGCTCTTGATTGAGAAACTTAACGATTTTGGCTTTACTGATTTTACTTTTTTCTTTATTTGTAGTAATTTTTAACGGTCTATGTTTTTCACTTCCAAAATAATTTATCCTTGTGATATTTTAGAGAAGCGTATTTTATTTATGAATATTATTTAAGGAAGGTAAACTTTAACCCTGGTCGCCACTGGAAATCTCTGATTTGATGATCATCACCATCCTCAATGGTTTGGTGTTGGGACCATTGACAGAGTGACCACCATTGGGCCATGTCTTGTTCTGGTGAAACCCACTCCCTAGCACTGGTCGATGTACTTGATTGGAAGGTGATGACCATCATGACTGCAGATTTTCTCTCACTCTGAGAATTATGTCGCTCTTTCCTTATTATCTGTACAGATAGTTTGTAACTTGTAAGATGTTCTCGAGTTGATTTTTAAAATTCAGAAACTATTCAGTTTCTTAAAATGTTTTCCTATTTGATCTTCTCAAACATGTTTTCCCCAAAAAGTGAAAACTTGCAAAATCTCCAAAGCAACCATCTTATCTTCTGCTAAAACTAAATAATCTCCCCTCAAACTTCAAAAAATTATGACTCTTCACTACAACTCACTCGAACCATCCTTTTTTTTTGTTTTCATCTGCCATGTAGCCTTAAAGAGGATTGACCAGACAACGGCAGAGGGCTCATCTGCAGGGCTCGATGCACTTGCAGACGCGGCCATACTTCGCGGTGATGATCCTGAGGAGCCGACGAGCACCACAGCATCCCCTCCTACGACGAGGCATCCTCGCCACCGACCTGGGTGCTCATGCATTGTGTGCATCCAGCCGCCCAGTGGCAAGGGCCCCAAGCACAAGCCCAATTGCACTTGCAACGTATGCATGACCGTCAAGCGCCGCTTCCGCACGCTCATGATGCGCCGGAAGAAGCGCCAAGAGGCTGAGATCGAGGCCTCTCGCAAAGCTCTCATTTCACAGATGGAGAATGTTAAGTCAAGTGATGATTCTGGTGAAAGGAAGATGGAGAACTCAAAGTCTGATGAGGATTCTGGTGGCAGGAAGGAAAATGTGAAGTCTGGGGATGATGATTCTGGGGGCAAGATACAGGAGGATTTGAAACCAGTTGAAGAATTTGGCGGTAGCAAGAGGTCAGAGAACTGGAGGTCCAGCAAAGAGAAGGCGTCGAGTTCCTTGCAAGGTGCGAATCCTGAGTATTCTCGGAGGGGGAGTGGAACACTGAAGGGTAGGATTGACCTTAATTGCCAGCCTGAGAGGGAGGATGAGCTTGGGCATTTTCCAGAAGGTGGGGTGGGACTTGAGGTGGAAGCCAATGGGGTTGGCCCAGGTGGCTATGAGGTGGAGACCGGTCGTGGGGCCTTGGGTACCAGTCGGCGGGAAGCTGATGTCGCATCAGGGTCGGGCTCGGGGTCTGGTTAAGTTTATTGTTTTTGGTGCCTGCATTGAGAGTGGGGTTGTGAGGAGCCGAGAAATGTGGTCTGTTTTTCTGTTTTCTCGTTAAGGAGAAAAGGCAGTTTTTGGTGACTTAGTTCAAATACACAGTTGATATCATTTGGGATGCGAAGGCATATAGTAATTTTTGTAATGCTACGTATATATTATATGAAGGTGCTTTTATAAGGTTATTCATACAATTTGGCCAATGAAATTCTCATTTTCGTACCAGTACTTAAGAGTACCTCTCTCTCTCTCTCCTTCTTATTACTTACTCTGCCTTCAAATAAACATCTGTTCTATCTCTAAGGATCCCCATTAAACAATGAGAGTATTTATTTTGGAGGTCACAATCATTATTTGCCCATTTGATGTGAAATCTGATGATTGAAGATGTGTCATTGGGGCACAATGTTTAAAATATAAATTCTTGATGATGTGTCATTGGGCACAATATTTAAAATATAAATTTTTGAATGTTGTGACACATTTCAATCTGTTAGATTTTGCATCTAATGGTTAAAAATAATTGTGATTTTTTTGTATTAAAAATAAATGATCTTATAGACTATACAATCCTTATATTAAATCGGTTCTTTTTTAGTGTCTTGTTATTCGGTTCTTTTTGAGTGTTTTGTTAATCGGTTCTTTTTGAGTGTTTTGTCAATAATCGATGTTCCGTTGTTGATGGCACCTTCAGCGGTCAATAAAAGATACCTGAAGCTCATTCATTTTGGGTACGAGTATTAGTTATGGGGAGGTTTCTATAAACCTTATACTATATAAATAAGACGTACGTCTAAAATTTATCAAAAGATGTAGTGTCCATGTTGAAAACTTTATGATAGCTTGAAAATAAATGTTTAGCTTTAAATATAAAATTTAAAAGTTTAAAAATAGTGCAGCTCAAGCAGCTCTATAAACATTTGAAAATCTTGAAAATAGATGTTCCAGATTACAAGATGTATTGATTTTAGGGTGTAGTTTACATAAGGTTGCAATCTTAAACAATCCAATTTAGGCACACCTCTAAATTTTTTCATAAATGTAATTTTGATATCAAAAATTTTAGGATGGTTTGATAATCTATTTTTATCTCTAATTATAAAATTTTAAACTTTAAAAATGGTTCAAATCAAGTAGACCTATAAACACATGAAAGCTTGAAAATGGACGGTCCAAATAATATGTTGCTAGATAAACTATTTCAGGGACTCACAATCTTTTTTTTTAAGGTCCCCAGGGACTATTATGAATTCCTTGGGAAAGGTACACCTTCTACCTACGTGGCCGTAATGCAGGCGACTGAGCTGTCTTTTCTTTCCATCCATATCTTTGTAAAGGCAAGAGAAAGATCCCGTTGGAGGCCTCTCTCTCTCTCTGTTTCGTCTTCAAAGCAGCTGGTTGGGATTTCTCGACGGTTCTCAGCATTTGTTGGGGTAAAGTGTGGAGTTTGTTGTTGGTGATTTCAGTGATTCTGAAGTTATATCCTCTTCTAGCTAGACATGCAGCGATTTGAGGTCAAGCCTCTCATCCTAAGCCCCGATTCGATCCTTTGATGGTCGATCCACTTGCTATTGTGGTTATTGACTAAGATATCGAACCTCTAAAAGTGCTCAATTAAGAGATGCATTACCCCTTGGAAGTGGAGGCAGGTGGCCCTATCTACCCTTTGTTGGCAATGGTTCAGGGAACCGATAGCCTTGGTTGCTCAGCCGTCACATCTGTCCCTTCTTGCCTACTTCTCTATGTATGCTAGTGAGGACTTAGAGGAGATGGATTATTATGAGAGTAGAGCAAATATTGAAGTAGGGGATTCAAGGAACATAGAGAAGGGGCCTTTTGAAATTGTTAAGGAGGATGATGATATTGGAAAAGTTTCGGCTATGTTTGAAGACATGGGGGCTGACTTTAATGTCCATATTGGGATTGTCTTGGAGGAGACGAAGGCCAAGAAAAAACAGGAGAAACTGCAAAAGACGAAGGAGGATTCTAAGCTTGAAGAAGAAGGTGGCATTGACTCCTGCTAAGAAAATGGAGTCTTCGAAGAAGGCCAAAGGCTTTGTGAAGCCTTCTCGATCCTCTGCTCGGCTTGCAGCAAGGTTTGGTGCTGGAGACATAATTCGTGAGTATGAGCATTGAGCAATCGCCTTCTGAATGGATCTCTGATGCGAAGAATACTACTTTGTAGGAAGCTCTGATGTTAGAGGAGGTTTATTGTGGACCGTGTGTGGAGGGTCCAAGTTCTGCTTCTAACCCTCCCACGCCCCCCCCTCTTTAATGAATTTTATTTCTTGGAATGTTAGGGGATTGAGCGATCCTAAGCATAAAAGGGACATCCTCTTTTTAGTTATGAAATATAAACCTGTCATTTTGGTTCTTCAAGAGACTAAACTTTTCAGCCTTGATGTTTCGGGTGTGAGGGAAGTTTGAGGATTGGGTTCTGTTAACTTTTTGGGGGATTGACTCTATTGGAGCTTCTGGGGTCTTTGGATTTTGTGGGATCCTCAAGTTTTGCAAAGTTTTTATTATGTTGTCAGGGACATTTTTTTTTGGTACGGTTTCATAATCCTTCGATGGATTTTTCATGGGCTATAGTCAATGAGTATGGTCCTACTTTACATGCTTTTAAAGAGTTCTTTATTAATGATCTGACATATGTTTTGAATGACTTTTATTTTCTTGTCTCCAAAGCCTTTTAAGATGGAGATTGGGTGGC